AGGATAACTGTGACTTTAAGGATGAATGGGAACCCTTTACAAAGTATCTGAAGACACAACAAAGCGAACTGGACTCCTTGGCAGGTTTTGAATAAACACTCACAATTTTTTTTATTGATAATAATCAGCTAAATAGTTTGAGGATCTATACTATATTGTAACATGCAGAAAACATCATTATTAGAGAAACCAAAGACTGGAACTGAGGGAAGTCGGGGGGTGGGGTGGGTGTGGGTGGGTTTTGTGTGGGAGGGGGGAAATGGGGAGGGAATAAGGATGATATGTTTTTGGATAATATGTCTTGTTATAATTTTGAATTAAAAAAAAAAAAAGGGAGGGGGGGGGGTTTCTTGAAAGCATGGAGGATATAGGCACCACTCACCGGAAAATTTGTATTCTGTATTGTAATGTATTTTGTACTGTGGTTCTAACTTTATTTGAATGTTTCATTTTTAGTTGCTAGCCTCCATGGGCTCATGAGAGAGGAAGGGGAGAGAATAAGAATTCTTAGTTAAAAACAGAGTCCAAAAAGTTATACTCCTAGGACAAGTACTTCTGCCTGTGCAAAATATCCATCTTGTGCTTTGAACTGAAAATGTATCGCAGAATTCAGAGAAGTGTGTCCTCTGATCAATAACTCCCCATGAATTAGATTGCAGAATTTCCCTACATCCGCAGCCCCAGATTCAATAGTCAGCACTTCCTATTAAAAGGATCAGGAAGCAGATGATGCTAAAGACCCCCAGATAAGAGCTTTGAGGGCCATTGCCCTTCAACTTGCAAAGCACTGGGCTAGATGGAGAAAAAGTCTGACCTTGTATAGGGCAGCTCCCTGATCTGCTTCTATAAACTTAAAACACTTTACTGGAATAGATGTGCATGGTTGGAGGCAGTAATATTTTTGCCAGTTGCCATTGAGGGTCATTCACCTGATTCATCAGGGCTCTTCTTGTGTAGTTAAGACCTTGTTTTTATTCCACAGAAGGAATAAAGTAGATGCAAAACTTCCAGAAACCGGGAGTGGGAAGAAAATACAGTAGTGTGAATATCCTCCGGTTAATGTGAAATGCAAGAGGTGTGTATTTAGCTCAGAACTGACTTTTGAGTGTGAATGTAGATGGCTTGAAACCTGTATTCCATATCTTGAGCTCCTAATTTTTTTATTGTTTTCTTTTTTGCATATGTCCCTATAAGCTTATCCACCTTTGATTCCCACTCTGCCCTCTGCTCACCTGTGGCTCCTATAAGGGAAATGGCTTCTACTGGCTGGCTAAACAAGTGAGGGTAGCCAATGGGCTTCAACCCTCAAGGAGTTAGAAATTTCCCCTTCATGTGAAGACAGGTTCTGGTAGAAGGCCGTGACTGCATGTGTTGTAGAGGGAATTGAGCGGCAGATGGGGCTCATCCACCTGGGAAGGTAGCCCAACCAGAAGAAGGAAAACTCTGGTCTTAAACCTCCGCTGTCTTGTGGCTACATACGCATTCATGAGAAAACATAGGAAATACGCATTCATGAGAAAACATAGGAAATACGCATTCATGAGGAAACATAGAAAAAAGAAAAAAGATGGCGCCGGCAGTAAGTCTTCTGTGAGTCCCAACAGAGTGAGTAGGAGCTTTTTACAGAATAATTACAATAATACAGAAAGACATTCAGAAAAATCAAAGCTTAGCCTGATAAGGAATCCGGGAGTTACCAGGAGGTATTTCTTTTAAACCTCCCCTTTCTCCTCTCCTCTCCTGGGCTTTTTTTATCTGCCCTTTGTTATCCTATGGAAGCCATTCAAATTTTCCAAGGCCATCCAGTGCTATTTTGAGGCTATTTGAGTGCTATTTTTGAGGCTATCCGAGGCTAACTTCAACCTCTGAGCTCTTTTTGAATAAGGCCCTAGCACACGGCTAGAGAAGATAGCCCAAATGGTACTTACAAGACAGAATTATAAAGAACTGGGGATTCCTCTAGCTCAAGCACAAGCTGTTGAACCCCCTGCCCCAAAGAAAAAGCAGGCAAAAATTTCATATTATTTTAAACCAAAGGCAGAACCAAAAGCAGAAGAAATAAAAAGAAATACAAACACAGAGAGCCTGCATCCGCACGAATGGTCTGTCGACCGTACCTCGTTCGGAAGGGGTGTGGAAGCAGAGGGAGGAGGAGGAAAAGGAGTCGACCTGGCAACCGAGCTGGCACAGGCAACTGCAGAGGATACAGCCCCTAAGGCCCGACCGGAACAGGAGCCTCAACTGGGGAACCCAGAAACCAAGTCAAGAGAATCCACTCATCAATCTATGCCTGGAGGAAAGGGGGGGTCCCCTGCCCCGACTGAGGTGGAGGAGTGGCTAAACGACACAAGAGCTCGACATCCAGACCTGGGCAGCTATAATTACATAATGACAGGGTTGTACAAAGATCTGTTGGAAGAACACCAAACTCAGCTAATTAAAGAACTGGGGCCAATTAAAAACTTTCTTTCAGAATGTTTGGGTCTGCTCACCTCCCTGATTGAACTAACCAGGAGGAAAGAGGATTGCCACTTTCACAAAGAAGCCAGCAACAAGCCAAATGGAAATAAAACCCAGTCCAACATCAAAGAAAGGAAAACAAGCAGAGCCAATCTAGTCCAAGGAAAAGTACTGGCCACCAGGAAACCTTCCTTAAAGGGAAAGAGTTCAATGCACAAGAAGAAGCCGAAGAATATGAAAATGGGTCGAAAGGCTAAGCTGCCCTCTCGGACTGGGAAAATGAATTTCTCAAAGCTATTCAAGATTCTGGAGAATTCAAGTACAAAGAACCCCAATATAACAACGCCAAATAAGAGCCAAAACCCAAACATTTTAGATAAACAACAGGTGGCTAGCCCCCCAAGGCTAGTAAAACAATCGCTGCCCTCTAGTGGAAAATTAAAGAAAACTCCAGACCCAAAGCAAGAAACTCCCCAGAAGGGAGTACAAAAGAGCCAGAACCTAATTTTAATTAAACATAAATTAGTCCTCCTCCCTCTCTTCAAGCATGGAGGCCTTTCCACGCTTGCACAACAGAGAATTTATATACTTAAGAAAATTGACTTAGTCATCAGAGGCCTTATACCAGCAGGAAATATTGTCAGCGTGAAGTTTCTTCCTTTTGATAAGGCCCAAAACAGAGTTGTGGTGACCTTTAAGGACTGGTCGGTAACTAAACAAATCTTGGACAAGAGGGACAGGCTCCAGAGGGCTGGCCTGTTGGTGACCCGCCTTTTCGAAGAGTCCGGCGTTCCACCATCCCTCTTAGGAACATGCAAGCCTACTAGTCTGCGCACAGAATTGGAAATGGCTTCTGAAAACTACAATCAAGGTCAACCGGAGGCAGTCAAAATTTCCAAACAGAAGGCTAAGCTCCAAAAAACTTTACTCCCTTCCAATGAACCCAAAAAAGATACCTTAAATGAAAAGGAGTTGTTCTTTTTAGCCTCCCTTGAGCAGATTCAACAGTCCCAGGATGCGTTAATAGCTAGGTTACAAACCATTAAAAAATCCTTACTCCTCCAAGGCTTTTCTACTCCTTTGGAATTTAATTTTGCTACTAACACGACAAAGCCCTTATCCAACGAAGACTGGACGCAGTGCCGGTTCCTGTCCCCCGAAGAAGTGGGTTCTCCCACACAACCCTTAATACCTCAAACAACAATACACCAGGTAGACCTTGCCATGCCGATGAGTAGGAATGAGAAAAGCTTTGGGAATAAAACCAGAGGAAATATTCATACCTGCTGCTTTGGTGGACATCACTGGGCGATCTAAAGGTACCTTTGCCATTCTTTATGCTTTTATGGACGCGGGTGGCGCTGTGGGTAAAAGCCTCAGCGCCTAGGGCTTGCTGATCGAAAGGTCGGCAGTTCGAATCCCCGCGGCGGGGTGCGCTCCCATCGCTCGGTCCCAGCGCCTGCCAACCTAGCAGTTCGAAAGCACCCCCGGATGCAAGTAGATAAATAGGGACCGCTTACTGGCGGGAAGGTAAACGGCGTTTCCGTGTGCGGCTCTGGCTTGCCAGAGCAGTGATGTCACGCTGGCCACATGACCCGGAAGTGTCTGCAGACAGCGCTGGCCCCCGGCCTCTTGAGTGAGATGGGCGCACAACCTAGAGTCTGTCAAGACTGGCCCGTACGGGCAGGGGTACCTTTACCTTTACCTTTTTATGCTTTTGATGTTTGAATATTATTAGCAACTCAGTCTGCCTTACTATTTCCACCTTATGATCACAGCCAGCATATCTTACCTCACAAGGAATTCTTTTCCATTGCTGGAGTAATGGTTGGTTTACTTTCAGTTCTTTCATCTCTTTAGTGGTGAGCAACAGGAAAATGGTTAAAGATTTTTCGTGCAGAGGATTCCCTCATCTGTTTATAATTCTTATTGTCAACCATAAATCAGGCATTTTGCTCTACCTTAGACAGTTGAATGTCCACTTTTCCATTGTGTACTTCTTAATGACAGAATGTGGTACATACAAATTTTCAGACTGTAAATTTTCACTAGCAGGTAGAGGGGTCTCTCCAAGTTATATTTTTCCTTGTCCCAGAAGTGTTTAAAGAAGGGAGGGTGTGGGTCTTTCTACCTAGAGAAGGTATTTTTGTGACTCCTCAGCTTGCCAGCTCATTCTAACTTCTGTCCGAGCCACCAGGCACAGACAGCATAAAAAGCCTCAATTAAAGCATTTGAGGTTGCTCACAAATCCCTTCTCTTTCTGAGTGATTAAAGGTCAGCCCATCTCTCTGACTATTATCAATCACCACAAAATTAACTTCTGTCAGGGGTGAGCTAACAGACAGACAGCTGAACCGCAATTCTTCTCTCCTGGAACTGATTGTATGTGAGGCATATTATTATTCACAACAGTTTTGACCTGATTTTTTTTGGGGGGGTGGGAATCAAAATGGAGTAGCAAAATATATTTAAAGTGGATTTGAAAATTTTGTTCCTAGTGGTTGATTTCTATTCACTTTAGTTGCAGGAATGTGCCCAAAATGTGGAACCACAGCATGGTGAGAGAATTCGTACTTTCGGGCTTTACAGACAACCGAAGAGTTGAAATCTTGCTTTTTACCTTCATATTTAGCACGTACCTTTTGACAATAACGGGGAACACTGCAATTGTTATAATCACTTGGCTGAATCACCAGCTCAACACCCCAATGTATTTCTTCCTCCGACACTTTGCCTTCTTGGAAATTGGATTCACCACCTCTATCATTCCTAAAACATTGGCCAGCATGGCCGCTGGCCAGAAAACCATCTCTCTTCCTGGTTGCTTCACACAGACCTTTTTGTACTTTGCGTTTGGAGCCACAGAGTTCCTTCTTTTGGCAGTCATGTCCATTGACAGGTACATGGCCATATGCAAACCCCTTCACTACTCCACCATGATGAATGCTCGGGTCTGCAAACTGCTGGTGGTCTGCTCCTGGGTTGGGGGGTTGCTGTTTACTATGGTCCCAACAGCCGTGCTGTTTCAGATGCCCTATTGTGGCCCAAACACCATCAATCATTTTTTCTGTGACAGTGGACCACTGATGAAGCTTGTGTGTGCAAACACGAGCCTCCTGGAACTCAGATTTCTTCTCATCGCTGCACTCTGTCTCCTTGGGACCTTGACCATAAACATTGTTTCCTACGTCAACATTGTCCTCACGATCCTGCGCATCCCTTCCACCACTGGGAGGCAGAAAGCTTTCTCCACCTGTGCTTCTCACATCACTGTGGTCTCCATCACTTATGGTAGTTGCATTTTCATTTACATAAAACCAAAAGGTGTTGGTACTTTGGACTTCAGCAAAGGGGTGGCTGTTCTTAACACGATTGTGTCCCCTCTTCTGAATCCATTCATTTACTGCCTGAGAAATAGACAGGTCCAGGATGCGCTGAAAGCTGGATTTAGACAGTGTGTTGGGTTTCATTAGAAGCCAAGATGATTGCCATAAGCTGAAACCTTAAAATCAGATATTAACTGTGACAACACTGTGTTAGGAAAACATCAAACGTCAAACAAATTAGATCAAATTTTTTGTCAAAGAGCATAGAATGTTCACATCAGAGAGTATAGAATGTTCACATCACAGAGGAGTTTCAGCTATACATAAACAGGATAAAGGTAAAGGTAAAGGTACCCCTGCCCGTACGGGCCAGTCTTGACAGACTCTAGGGTTGTGCGCCCATCTCACTTAAGAGGCCGAGGGCCAGTGCTGTCCGGAGACACTTCCGGGTCACGTGGCCAGTGTGACAAAGCTGCAACTGGCGAGCCAGCGCAGCACACGGAAATGCCGCTTACCTTCCCGCCAGTAAGCGGTCCCTATTTATCTACTTGCACCCGAGGGTGCTTTCGAACTGCTAGGTTGGCAGGCGCTGGGACCGAGCAACGGGAGCGCACCCCGCCGCGGGGATTCGAACTGCCGACCTTTCAATCGGCAAGCCCTAGGTGCTGAGGCTTTTACCCACAGCACCACCCGCGTCCCCCATAAACAGGATACCAAGTGTTAAATGTCAGGTGCTATTCAGTAACCTAGTCTGAGGTTGGGAGATTCGTTTAAGCATGGAGTCCACATTACATTCTGGGTACCTTACCAGTGGTTGGTGGGGCCGAATGGTTGGTAGGTGGAGGAATCAATGAAAATGTTACCTTTGTGCAGGAGACTAGTTTCTACACTTACTCCCACATCTAAACACCTTTAAACATCCATATCCAGGCAAGCATGAGGCAGTATCAGAGTTCAAGTATACCTCCCAGGTAGGCAGATACACTCATGAAATGTGTGAAGCAGGATGTGGCCCAAGGAAAAGATCTGTGACTGGGGAGAGCCCTGGGGACCAGCTAGAGAGGCATGGAGGGCTACATCTGACCCTCAAATCTGAGTGCCCCCGACTTGCACAATTCCAGCCCTTAGCAAAGGCAAATCAACCAGAATGATCAGAGCTGAGGAATAAACTTGCCCTTTAGTGGCAAACGCCTTAGAAATCATAGAGCTGTAGAGCTTCAAGGGACCATGAGGGTCATCTAGTCCAACCCCCTGCAATGCAAGAATCTTTTGACGAATGTGGGGCTTGAAGAAGAAGAAGAAGAAGAAGAAGAAGAAGAGGAGGAGGAGGAGGAGGAGTTTGGATTTGATATCCCGCCTTTCACTCCCTTTAAGGAGTCTCAAAGCGGCTAACATTCTCCTTTCCCTTCCTCCCCCACAACAACCACTCTGTGAGGTGAGTGGGGCTGAGAGACTTCAGAGAAGTGTGACTGGCCCAAGGTCACCCAGCAGCTGCATTTGGAGGAGCGGAGACGTGAACCCAGTTCCCCAGATTACGTGACCACCGCTCTTAACCACTACACCACGCTGGCTCTCCACAACTCTGAGTTTAAGAGTCTTATGCTCTACTGATGATGAGATGTGCTTTGATCTGAGATTCTAATGGTTGGGTTTAAGTAATTAATCATTGTATATTTACATCTCACTTTTCCTCCAGGGAGCCCAAGGTGGCCCACATGGTTTTCCTCTCTCCCATTTTGCCATCACAACAACCCTGTGAGGTGGGGTTAGGCTGAGAGCCAATGAATGGCTCAATATCACACAATGGGTTTCATATTTGAGTGGAAATTTGAACCCTCATCTTCCAGGATCAAGTGAAACCATTTTAGTATGAACCCATGGCTGTCCTCCAAAAATATGAATCTTCATGAACCATTGATCAAAATGAGAACCCACAAATCGAATAGTGGGCTGGATATTTCAAAGCAGTGGTTGACATATTTCCATAGACTACAGATGCCCTTGGCTCAGAGTATGTAACTCTGATCTGTAACCACAATTAAATTTCACTCATTTCCATTCTAACTGAGCAGGACAGGGGCATTTGGGAGACGTTAGCAGGGACCTCCAGGGTTGGGATGTCTCTTATTTTGTCCCTCCTGTCAAATGCACGAATGTATATTTGGTGGGTGAGGATGATTTTCTGTGTTGTGTTTCTGAGTTTTAGTCTGGTGCTATATAAGAGGACACCTGGCTTGCCATTAGTACATGTGAAAAGGATCTAAGGATCTTAATAGACCACAAGTTTAATATGAGTCAACAATGTGATGCAGCTGCAAAAAAAAAAGGTAATGCTATCCTAGGCTACAGCAACAGAAGTCATGCTGGCCACATGACCAGGAAAACTGTCTGCGGACAAACGCTGGCTCCCTCAGCCTGTAAAGCGAGATGAACGCCGCAACCCCAGAATTGTCTGTGACTGGACTTAACTGTCAGGGGTCCTTTACCTTTACCTATACATTATTATTATTTCCACTATCATACACATCAACCACAAGGAGGCAGAAGACTTTTTCCACTTGTGCTTCTCACATCATCGTGATCTCAAACACTCACGGCAGTTGCATTTCCAATTATATAAAACCCAAAGGCACAGGTGAATTAGCATTTACCAAGGGGGTTTCTCTTCTTGACATGGTTTTGCCTCCCCTTCTGAACCCATTTGTTTACTGCCTGGGGAATAGACAGGGTGCCTTGTAATCTGGCTTTGGACAGCGTGTTGGGTTTTGTGGCAACTCAAGGTGCTTGAGCTCAAACATCAGCTCAAACATCAGCTCAAACATCAAAATATGTAAACCTTGCAGCCGACTGGATAAACCTTGCCTTTCAGTAACACAGGATTTCCTACAAGGAAATCCTTCAAGTTAATGATGTCAAGTACTGAATATTCTGTGCTGATTGTGAAAAGCTACTCAATGACAGAAATCAGGGTTGAGGGACCATGAAACTCACCAGGTGCTAGTGGGCCAGTCACTGCCTTTCATCCTACCTCACCTGACAGGCTTGTTGTATGAATAAGTGAGGAAGACAAAAACCATATGCACCACCTTTAGTTCCTTGGAAGAAAGGTGGGGGTAGATATATAAGAAGGGGAGAGGAAGGAGCTCAATAGTTTCAACTCATGACCCCAGGATAGTAACCAGCCACATAGAAGCCCTATGCACCATGACTCTTCCATCGAAGCTTGCAGTAGTAGGACAGTAGCCTCTTACATCAAATGTTCAGCAGTTTTTTCTGCTCCTCTGGGAAGCAAAGCTCATGTCCCCGTTGTGGGAAAACAAACTAATATTTCTCATGCTAAATGCTGCCTCAGGAATGACTGCTCCCCGCTTAAAACGGGGGGCGCCCTTTGCGGGGACGCGCGTAGCCCCTAGATCTGGAGCGGCTCCAACAGCATAGGCTTGGCTTTGCCTTCCCTCAGGTGGGATACCTGGAGGTCTCCACCTACCTCAGTCAGTTGTCCAATCCCACCTGGGGGAAGCGTTGCCAAGGAGACCAGGCCAGGTAGGGGAGGGATTACCTGCCCACACGATAGAGGGACTCTTCCATCGAAGCTTGCAGTAGTAGGACAGTAGCCTCTTACATCAAATGTTCAGCAGTTTTTTCTGCTCCTCTGGGAAGCAAAGCTCATGTCCCCGTTGTGGGAAAACAAACTAATATCTCTCATGCTAAATGCTGCCTCAGGAAAAAGAAGCTGCATTCTTGCTTAGGAGAGGTTGCAACCAAGAAGCAAATAGCTCATGTTCTGTCTCCCTTAAAGAACAGACTGGGTACCATCGCTTCTCATAGGGTGCTTCCATTTTGCAAAGAAATGCATGTCCTAAATTGCAGAGTTTTGTGTGGTAAAGAAGAAGAAGAAACTTTCTAGAGACCACTGAGGCTACAGACATCACTGTCTGAGATATTGTATGTTTGATTTTAATTTATTCCATTATTTTAACTGTGCTTTAAAATTGCATTCCAAATGATGTGCTATAAAATTACATCCTGTGTCAAAATGAGAGAATTATATTAAAAGAATTTATTGCCTTATTTCAGTCACAAATATGTTTGTGTTCCTGTTTATGGAATATTAAATAAAATTCCTTTTTAATGTACCATTTTCTACTTGGGACCTGACTGTGAAGTATACAACATGCCTTATTATTCACAGCACTGTGGACTTGATTGCCAGAAAAGGAAAAACAACAATTGCTTAGTATAGTTTATAAAACATTGATACTAATGAATGATTTCTATTCACTTTAGTTGTAGGAATGTGCCCAAAATGAGGAACAGCACCATGGTGAGAGAATTCATACTTCGGGGCTTTACGGACAACCGTCAAGTTGAAATCTTGCTTTTCACCCTTCTGTTTTCCATGTATCTTTTGACAATAACGGGGAACGCTGTGATTGTTATAATCACTCAGGTGAGTCCCCAGCTCAGCACCCCAATGTATTTCTTCCTTCGACACTTTGCAGTCCTGGAGATTGGGTTCACCACTTCTGTCATTCCTAAAACATTGATCAACATGGCCATTGGACAGAAGACCATCTCTTTGCCTGCTTGCTTCACACAGTCCTTTCTGTATTTTGTCCTGGGTACCACAGAGTTCCTTCTGCTGACAGTTATGTCCATTGACAGGTATGTGGCCATTTGCAACCCTCTTCACTACCCAACCATCATGAATGATCACTTGTGCTCACTGCTGGTACTCTGCTCTTGGCTAGGGGGGTTGTCACTCATTATGGTTCCAATAGTTGTCCTTTTTCAGATGCCCTTTTGTGGTCCAAACACCATCAACCATTTTTTCTGTGATAGTGGGCCACTGATGAAACTTTCATGCGCAAACACGTCTCTATTTGAACTCCTCAGTTTCCTCATCGCTTTGCTCTCTGTCCTTGGGACCTTGGCCATAACAATTGTGTCATATATACGCATTGTCTCAACCATCATGCTCATCCCTTCAACCACAGGGAGGCAGAAGGCATTCTCTACTTGTGCTTCTCACATCATAGTGATCTCCCTCACTTATGGCAGCTGCATTTTCATGTACATAAAACCAAAAGGCACTGGGACGTTAGACTTCAGCAAAGGGGTGGCCCTTCTGAACACTGTTGTATCTCCTCTGCTGAATCCATTTATTTACTGCCTGAGAAACAGGCAGGTCCAGGATGCCTTGAGAGCTGGATTTAGACAGTGTGTTGGACTTCGCAAGTCCCCAAGGTGATTTGGAATAGGACTGACATCAGCTTGAACATGAATATCAGGCCTTTGGTTTGCCTCCCAATAACACTGCAAGGATGGGATACCATCTATGGGTGAATACAGTGTGTGAAAAATGTCAAATAAATGCCAAATCAATTTCTGGCATAAAGTTCTGAAATCAGCGGACTACATTCTTTGGTGATTACTGGTAGCTGAGTAAGATTATCTTCCATGAAGTTGGTCTTAACGGTGTGTCCATAAGTGACTGCGGAAGTTGATTCTGGTTGTGAGAGTGTGAAAGTGGGGAAATGTATATTACATATTTACACACACACACACACACACACACACACACACACACACACACACACTATTATAGTGTTTCATTTTCACCCTCTGCACACAGCACCAGTGAGGCTGAGTTATTGATTACTTGGGTCAGATGTCAGACAGCAATGTTCAAGGCCATGTTAGGGAGGAATGTGTGTATGTGGTCTTGGAGGAAGCAAGCTCATCATCATCATCATCATCATCATTCTTTATTACAGTCCAGAGACCCAACAAATTGTTACAAAGCAATGCACAATTCAGGCAGCCTACCTCCAGGTAAAACAAGCATTTTGTTCAGACTTAAAGATAGGGATCATTGGTTCTTGCAACCACCGATAAAAACTTTGCCACTGCTAATGTTCTAGCACTTGTCTGGTTTTCCAATAGGAACATGACATAGTGAGCCTCTGATTTTCCTGAGAAATGTACAAGCAAGGGTAATATCTGTTCAGCCCTGGTTTGCTCATATTTCGCACAGTGCAGTAAAATATGTTTTATAGAATTGATGTCTTGGGCACACAAGCAAAGTCTGTCCTGGTAGGGAACTCCTCTCAACCTGCCATCCAACACTGCAGAAGGAAAAATGTTTAGTCTGGCTTTGGTGAATAACCTTCGGTAATTCGGTACTGTCAGGTTTTTAATGTAAGGTGTTAACCATATTGTACTCCTACCGCCAGAGGACTACAGACTGCGTGTGATTGAGATCGCAAGTCACTGTGTGTATTATTCCTTAATCTTTGCTTTAACGTCTATAAGGCACCTTCATAACCCAGGTAATACAGTTGGGGGGGGGGGGAGAGACAGACCAATAGAGGTGGTTTTCTAGCTATGGTTTTCTGCCATTTGCTGACAAACTCCTAATTGGCCAGATGTTGATACAAACCCTTCCCTAGTTCAAACACTGAAATCCTGATCCAATGTTTTAGGGCAGCCCATCATGCTTTAGTTGAAATTCGGCATTCATCAGCTTCTAACAGAACTATGGAGTTGGGGAAACAGTTGGGTACCTGCAGCAGAGATCGTAGAAATTTTGCCTGAAAGATGTCTAGCTTAGGCAGGTCCCCATTATGCCAGACATTTGCAGTTGAGAAACGGATTTTGCTTTGAAAACCCTTAAGGCTGCTGGAACATACTTGCAGCCCTTTGTGAAAAAGAATCTGGGTATGGGTAGCTTTCTTTGACTGTAAATTACAGATAGGGTTTAAGGTTTTATATAGTGGTAAGAGTGTACAGGGTTCAAATCACCTCTGAGCCATGAAACTCACTGGATTCCTTGGAATAGTCAGTTCATCTCAGCCCAGCTCACCCCATAGAGTTGTTGTGAGGGAAAGGTTAGAACAGTGCTTTCCAAACTATGTGTCACAACATGTTAGTCTGTCGGCTACAGTATATACTGCAAGGGCTCCCTGCACTCCTCCCGGGACTGGAAAGGTGTTAGTTAACCTTCGGTTTGCTAGTAAAACTGAATTAAAAGGTAAAGGGACCCCTGACCATTAGGTCCAGTCGTGACCAACTCTGGGGTTTCGGCGCTCATCTCGCTTTATTGGCCGAGGGAGCCGGCGTACAGATTCCAGGTCATGAGGCCAGCATGACTAAGCCGCTTCTGGTGAACCACAGCAGCGCACGGAAAAGCCGTTTACCTTCCCGCCGGAGCGCTACCTATTTATCTACTTGCACTTTGATGTGCTTTCGAACTGCTAGGTGGGCAGGAGCTGGGACTGAGCAATGGGAGCTCACCCTGTCGCGGGGATTCAAACCGCCAAACTTCTGATCGGCAAGTCCTAGGCTCTGTGGTTTAACCCACAGCACCATCTGCGTCCCTATGGGATACATAGAATATCCCAGCCAATATTCAACATCAAAATTCAAAGCAGAAAGAAGGCAGGGAGGAGCAATGTGATTACAACTCTTGATCCCAGAATAGTAACCAACCACTTAGAAGCTACATATACAGACTGTGAACTTCACAAACTAGTTTGTGGTAGTATGATATGAGCCTCTTGCACCAGATTTTTATTTCCTTCTGCTCTTCTGGGAAGCAAAGCTAAGGTTCTTGGTGTATCATGAATAACTTGGCTTGGGGACAAGAAACTGCAGCAGTTCCATAGCTGAGCCCCATACACAAATATTCTTCCAGATTAGTTTGTTATGGTGGGAATCAAAGCTCATGTCTCTGGTGTATCCTAATAAAGTGAGAGGTAATATCTTTCACGCTAAATGTTGTCTTAGGAACAATAAGCTGCACCATTGCCTATGATGAGTGGTTGCCTCTTTAAGCTTCAGAGAGTGAATAGCTCTCCTGCAAGCTGCACAAGGACACGAATGGGTAACATTGCATGTCGTAGGATTCTTCATGGTAGCAAAGAGATGGACAAATGCATGGCATAAAATGTGCAGAGCCTGTTGGCTTGTGATGTAAGGAAGTGGAAAAAAATCTTTTAAAGAATGGAAATCGCTGGCGGGGAAATTGTATGCTACATTTTGTATTTTCCTTTGTATGGTGGTTTTAATTTTGCTGGGCTGACACATTTTTAGTTGTTAGCCTCCACAAGACAGGAAAGAGAGGAGAGACAATATCACAGTTTGGAGTTGGATCCAATGATCTCTGCACCAGGATTTGTCTACTTTCTCTGTGCACCCTCCTGCTTTCCTAGATCTGTTCTGTGGGCTCCCCAAACCCTCTGGGTCAGATTTGGACAGGTGCAGAGAGAGGAAGTCCTGTTGCGCAGGCAGAAGTACTTCCACCATTGGGACCCAACTTGATTGGATACAATGTAGTGACAATGATACACTATGCATGCAAAATACACATCTTGATGTGTTTGGTGTGGTGAAAATATATTGTGAAATTGTGTGTCCTCTAATCCACCACTGTGCTCAGATTCATATATACTTTTCTTCAATGTGGAAAGCACTAGTCCAAATGGAGAAGTCTGAAATTGTATATGTTTCTTTAAACTCAAGGTACTTTCTCAGTCCTGGCTTAAAGGTACATGGCTGGAGGTAGTAAGACTTCTGAAAGCCAGTGGCTGGGAACCACATGAGGGGGAGAATGCTCTTGTGCTTAGATCCAGTTTGCGGATTTTCCAGAGGTATCTGAGTGGTCACTGTGAGAATAGGATGCTGGACCAGAGGAGCCATCAGCCTTATTTAAGTATGAGGGCCACAATACATTTTGAGCAACTTTCTGAGGCCACATACCTATAGCTGGTGAGACCAGACACAAAAGTTGGTAGAACAATTAAAATAATTTATACCTGTCAGGGGCTCAGAAGCAGAGGCACAGGAAAGGGAGGAAATAGAGAGCGAGGGGGAGGAATCCGAAGGAAATGTTAGCGATTACAGCGGTCCGAGGTCTCTGAGTCTCTCCAGCGAATCAGAGGATTCACAGAAAGGGGCTCCCATGGTCAGAGCAAGGGGGTTGCCTAGGGGGACACCCCAGGAAGAAGGGGCCAGAGGGGACTCAGAGAGCAGCAGTTGGAAATCAGGACCAGCTGTTCCACCAGAGCGCAGTAGGGGGGAGGAGTCCCAGGTATCGGGATCAGGCGGCTCACCGCCAGCGGGAGGACATGAGTCAGGATTGGCCATGCCTCCATCGGAGAGCGAGGAAACGGTCAAAAGGAAGGTCGGAGACTGGGCGCGCGCGCCAAGTTCAAATGTACAAGAGGGCGGCGCAGTTGGCAGCCCGGATAGGGAGCCAGGTCCTAAAGCCCGCCGAAAGGAGGGAGAGCAGTCAGGGGGGTCAGTGTCAGAAGAGTCCAGGAAGGAGGAGACCCCGGGGGGCAGAAAGACCCAGAGGAGAAAGGAGAGACGGAAGAGGTGGAGTAAGGTTAGAGTCTTAAACTGGTGTACAGGGGGTGGAGATTCAGATGGAGCTTCGCCGGTCTAGCTTCTAGACGTAGAGCTGCGTGCTGCGGCTTGAAAATGGAAACTGTATTTCAATAAAGACTTTTGTACATTACTACCGGCTAGCGTTGGTCCTCTGTGAGCTGGGACCTGGAGGCAGCTTCTGACAATACCTTTGCATAGTAGGCTAGTCTCTCTCTCTCTCTCTCTCTCTCTCTCTCTCTCTCTCTCTCTCTCTTTCTCTCTCTCTCTCCACACACACACACACACTTCTGTCCATCTTCCATCCAAGCAAGGAAGATGCATTATCAGAGCTCAAACTTGCATCCCAGGCAGTCAAAGTTACTCGTGGGTGATTGTGAAGCAGGGGCAGTGCTGGATGTGACCAAGGGAATGGATGTGAGGATGGTGAGAGTGTTGAGGACTTGATAGAGGGGCCTGGAGGTCTGCATTTGCCCCTTAAAACTGAGGTTCCCAACCCTTGGCTTAGACCAATTTCTGCCCTTAGCAAAGGCAGCTCAATCAGGAAGTTGAATCAACTTGTCCTTTGATGGGAAGTCCATTCGCAATGATTATACATGGCTTGGTCTGAGATTACCAAGGCTGAAAACATGAGGCAAAATGTTTAATTAAATAAGTAATCATTATAATTATAGCCCATCTCTCCTGCAAGTAGCTCAAGATGACACACATGGTGCTTCTCCACTCTCATTTTATCCTCAAAAATAACCTGGTGAGTAGGGCTTTTTTCAGCCTGAACTCGCAGGAACTTGGTTCCATCACCTCTCAGGTGGATGCCATTGCCATTCTAAGAGGACAAGGGAGGCATTCATGGTGAGGTCCAGC